GAGAGAGAGAGAGATAGACACATGAATGCGTGTGCACGCATCTATGTGGCATTTATGTGTGCGTACTGGCAAATTGGGAGATGGATAGGTAGAAAGCGGTTTCGTGTCCCACATATCCCACATACCTTGTGCATCATACCCTCAGATTTGGTAATTATTATGTCCTCCTCAGTCACAGCAAGTGGGTTGGTGATAGTGGATTTTCCACCTTGAGCAATCTCAGGTAGCTTCACTGACGCTTGGGCACCAACAGAATGCTGTGGAAGATGGGGGGGCCAAAATCGACCTTTCATTGCTGAGATCAGCTGGGGTCAAGAAATATTTTCGCGCTATAGCTTCGACATGCTTCGACAACTTTTAGGTTGGAACAACATGATATTATAAAGAAACAACATCTAAGGGGTGGGGTGTCAATCTTGACCTGTGGGACATTTGTGCCATTAGTTTGGGGCGAACATCCATAAGGATAAGAATTGTTCGGGCTACACTGGAGCTGACCAGGGTGAACTGACCCATAGCCCCAGGTTGAGCCCAACCACTGACATTTGCTTCCACTCTTTTTCCAGTTGCAGCGGGTTTTGTATGTTTTGCTTCGAACTCCGTCGAGGGTTTGCTTCATCTGTAAGCAGTGCATGATTGAAGGGTTGGATGATTTTCTCGTCGTACATAGTTTTTTGGTCACAAGTCAGAGATGAATGATATGATATGAACGGGCACATGAAAATGTAGATACATTGAATCTGTAACGACGACAACAACAACAACAACAGCAGCAACAACAACAACAACAACAACAACAACAACAACCACAACCACAACCACAACCACAACAACAACAACAACAACAACAACAACAACAACAACAACAACAACAACAACAACAACAACAACAACAACAACAACAACAACAACAACACACCAACACACCAACACACCAACACACCAACACGCCAACACGCCAACACGCCAACACGCCAACACGCCAACACACCAACACACCAACACACCAACACACCAACACACCAACACACCAACCCTAACGCTAACGCTAACACTAACACCACCACCACCACCACCACCACCACCACCAGCAGCAGCAGCAGCAGCAGCAACAAGAACAAGAACAAGAACAAGAACAAGAACAAGAACAACAAAAACCAACAACCGACACCCAACACCCAATACCCAACAACCAACACCCAACACCCAACACCCAACACGCATCAACCATCAACCATCAACCAACACCGAACACCGAACACCGAACAACGAACAACGAACAACGAACAACCAACACCCAACACCCAACACCCATCAACGAACAACGAACAACGAACAACGAACAACGAACAACGAACAACGAACAACGAACAACGAACAACGAACAACGACACCCACCACCCACCACCCACCACCACCACCACCAACCACCACCACCACCAACAACAACAACAACAGCAACAGCAACAGCAACAGCAACAGCAACAACAACAACAACAAACACAAACATTTGCATACCGAGTTTAAGCTCGAACTAACCCCCAAGCTGCCTTGCACGTCAGCACGTGCCTTAGGAAGGGTGGAGACTACTTTGGTGAGAATGCGTTGTTGCGGGATGAACCGCGCACCGCCACCATCATCGCGTCCAGTAGGTTGCTGGCCTTTAGGACCCTTGGCCCAAGGCTATGTGACCATGAAAATATAACATGGGCTCCGGTTAGTTAATTGTTTGTTGATGGTTGAAATTTTTAGTAACTGATTAAATGGGGATTTTGTTGTCATCCTGTGGAAGCGGATGAACATGATAGAAAGTGTGACATGACATCAGGAAGAGCTGCCTGCCTGAACTGCCAGGCATATCTTCCGGAACCGGTGGTAAGGTTGGGTCAGCTGGTTGTTGGCAGCTTTGTCAAGTGCTGCCACTAAGGATAAGAAGAGACAAGTTCCAGGACTGGCTTGTGCTGGCTGGGTGGACCAGTCACTCCTACATTTGGCCTTGCAAGACATGTGTCACCACGGAATAGAGGGTTTGCCCAAAACACTTCACTCATTTGTAACTACCCGTTTCTGGCCGGGTTTCAATTTCAACTAGTTGGGTGGCATTCAAGAACATTGTCGCCCCTGCCTAAACTCACAGGGTTTTCCGAAGATCAATCACATCTCTGATGCAGCCCACTTCCCAGCGCAACTGCCATCAATCAGGTCGTAAATGTTGGGGAAAGTCATCCGCAGATTTAATCAAGGAATTAGTGGAGTTGCACCCAAGAAGTGATATGTGATTTGCTATTGCAAAGGGAACCCTAATTCAACCAACGGTGGGTTTATAAATCCAGTACCTCGCAGTTGTTGGATTCGGCCTTTTTCCACTCTTGGTTCCGCCAAAAAAACGTGAGGAGCTTGGCCTGAATGCCAAGTTGCAGTTTGCCAATCGCAAAGCCGTGGGCACCGGGATGAAGGTTATGGCCTCTTGTCGGACAGTTGGGGTTGGGTGCGGGAGAGAGGGAAGTGTTTTTGGTGCCCTGAAACTTCAACTCGCAAGGATTCAAACATGGGACATGGCTTCTCATGTTGGATCAGGTTGGACATGGCAACTTAACTTTGGCTTTCCATGTTATATTTTGGTGATATAAGCTTGCAGGTAGGTGCCCTCATTTATGAATCGATCTCCTCCATGGCAGGCCATTTTTCTCAAACACCCGTGGCGACAAGACAGAACATGCACCACCCAACACCCAAACCTGTCACTGGATGGCAAAACCATGGGTGTACGCTCACACCGGTCATAACGCTTTGTCAGTCAATGGGACAACTCGTGCTTCGCGTTCCGATATCCTTCCACTCGGGGGTTATCCTCAACAAAAAAAGGCCATGAATCAAAATTGAAGAAACCGACTCAGGTGAAAAGCAAACCACCAACGCCAAAAACTCCAGAAGATGTTGAGCTCATCTCATTAGCTCTACAAAAGAACCTTGAAAGCACTGGTGTGGGGTTGGGATCCGGTTTTTGAGGCCACTAGATACTGGCTTGCAAACATCTAAGTTTGTTTTAAATCACAAGTGGGTGGCAGGAAGTTACTTCATGGATCTTCATGGTGTACGAAACAGTTCTCCAGCACATCATCCTCTACAATTGTTTTTGGCACGACACATTTGCCAGTCGCGGTTGGTCGACTGCGGACTTTTCCACTGTTTCAAGTGGCAGGAATGAGAATTTGGCGACGATGACCACGCTGGATTCCTCACGGCTTCAATCTTTTATCGAAGTCATGTGGCTTGGCCGCCATGGGAAAGGCTTGGAGATCACGACTGGGTCACGCTGTTTCGGGTTTTGCTTTCTGTGGGTTGAATCGATGCAAGATGCAGCCATGGAAGATCCGGATATACTTAGTTGTAATAGTCTACAGTAATAATAATGTCAGCATTATATATATATATATAATCATATTTTTTTAAAAATATTATCCACATTTCATGCCATGTGATGTCATACTATCTGATTCATCATATGGGCATGGTCGCCCTGCTGTTCACACCAAAATGGCTGACGCATGGATGGATGTTTATCACCCCGAGAATGGTATCATGGGTTTTGACACAGCCTCATCTCAGATCACATACTACTACTACACACACACATACATATATACTGTATATATATATATAATACATTATGTGTACACACACACATATATATATATATGATGTATATATATATATATATTTATATATATATATATATATGATATATGTATATGGTGCATATATGCATAGATAAATATGTATATATATATATGTATACATATATATATATATATTTGAATATGTACATACCCCCCGGCAATCGAACATGGCAGTAGATTTTTTTTACCCATTTATTGTTGTTTTTCTTGCATTAAACCATCCATTTTGTGGTTGGAGATTTCCGAGCGGCCCGCCATGTTTGATGACACAGGAGGGTATGTAACCTACTTATATACCAACTTTAAATCTCATTAAATCCCATTGAAGCACTGGATGGGTATCATCGGTATCATGCACATTTCATATCATTTCATGGTTGATCTTCCCAGGTGGAAGGAGGAAGTGAAGGCAGGCGAGCGCATCATCTCCGAGGGTGACATGCAGGCGTGTTCCATTTTGCATTTTTTTGTGGCGGCTTTTGAGCCCCAAAAAGTGACCATCATGAAGATTTTGGAGGTATAAATCGAACTTTTTTTTCCAACATGGGGATTAATATGATATATATATATATAATTGGGGATTTAAAGGAAAATAAGAGGCTTGTGGTGGCTGATAATCCCCAAAGAACTGAGCAAAACGGGTTGATATCCTTGATGGTGGTTAAAAAGAAACAAGGCCGGCCGGACGGAACATGTGGGCGAGGTGATGAGTCGGGGCTTTGCAACATACTTGAGCCAATACCCCTGTTGATTGGTTACGGACAGTAATACGTTCCTCCATCCTTCCCCTATATAGTGACGGACAATCACTTAGAACGTATTTTGGAAAAAAAAATCTGAATATTACTGCTTTTTTTACGTTCTAAGCCTTGCACTTAGAACGTCGAAAACCATACACTTAGAACGTCCAAATATCAAGATTCATCACTTAGAACGTACCGGGGATTTAACACTTAGAACGTGTCTAGGTCACTGATGATAGTGGAAAGGCTTGTGAAATCATGTTGCCGCACTCAGCGAAGCCACTCAGGGACTCTGAAGGTTGGAGGGTTATGTTTACTGTGCATGGAAGGGAACCATCACAGTTGATTTGAAACGGTGGGTACCTCATCGATTTTCTCGAAGGTTTTGGATTGTAGAAGTATTTATATTATATACATTTATAATGTATGTATTTATATATATATATATATATACAAGTATATATACATATCATATGGTAATTGTTCATAATTATAGTGGCGGACAATCACTTAGCACGTTCTAAGTGTTGGTTTACGTTCTAAGTGATAAATGGGCCTAAGTGATATTTTGACGTTCTAAGTGATGAATTTTCCCTACGTTCTAAGTGATGAAATTTTGCTACGTTCTAAGTACGAAAAAAAAAAATGGAAAAAATTTTACGTTCTAAGTGATTGTCCGTCACTATAATATCAAATGCCCAGCATATGGCCCCAGCATGCACAGTTCCAATACTGAACCACAGGTTTTGGGGGTGGTATGTAATGTTCGGGGGAAGGGCTTTTCGAGGGTTAGTACTACCAGGTTCACTCGGGATACTTATACCGATACCCGTTACTTCTTAATCAACCAGTAACATGAGATTGGATGGGGTATTTTTCATCGCTCACTTGGACAACTTGTTCAGAACCATGGCAATGAACCAAGAATATTTGAGCACTCCAGTGGGCCCTCAGTGACAAGGGTTATTAACTGGTTCATTTGGTCCAAATTTGTCAAGCAGTTCTAGATAAGGCAGTATATTATAATTGGGATTCCCTGAAAGTAGGGTAGAGTCGGGTAGAGAGAAATCGAATGGTGTCGTCCTCATTTCCTCATGACATGACAATTTTTGGGGTATCCCTCATTTAGGCATACCCCTCCGATATATCCCAATATCGTAAAGTTTTGCTTACAAATCCTATTAGATATCCATATTCCATTACTATAAAAACATGGCGACTATTGTCATGATTGTAGGAATTGATAGCAGCTAGGCTTCTGAAACTCGTCCCCATTTTTTCAAGGTTCCCCCGGTTCCCCCTCCCATTTTATTCACGGCAGGCGGACTATTTCTACGTGGTCGCTGAAGGTCAGTTTGAGGTTACTGTGTCAGATGCCAGTAACGAGGAATCAGGCGTGGACCACTCGGAAGCCAAGGCTGAATTTCATCAGAGGACGGGGATGGAAACGGAGGCAGTTGGGCTTATGAATTAATGCCTATGAATGGTTATCAATGGCTAGTAATTCTTAGATATAAGTTGGGATAGATATAATGCTATGAGCGGGGGGTATATGCCAGTATATGCATATTACTGTATATATATATACATACTTGTAGAAATAAAGATTTGCTATCAACTGCCGGATTCCAGCAGTGCCCATACCTCGACAAGGATCACGTGTATTATTTGGAGGTTGGAGGTATTTGTTGCAATAACCCATGAAAATAGGCACGCAAGTTACTAGCCAAACAATCATTCCTAGTAGCTAGGGTGCTAGTCTACATCTACTATTCATATCTTTAGATCCACAACTGTTTATTGCATATGCATGTGTATACATATACAAACGCAATTACATTGACAAACGCGCACACACACACATATAAATAAATAAATGAATAAATAAACAAATGAAAAATAAGTATATAAGTAAATAAATAAATAAATAAGTAAATAAATAAATGTATAAATATAAATAAATAAATACACACACACATATATATATATATATCACACGCACACACACACAATATACATTTATGGAGATTATTCGGTTAGATTGGGTTAGGTTGAATTAGATTAGGCTAGGTTAGATAGAAGACACGCAGCCCCAATTTCTTTTCGCCAGGACCATCAGCCATGTGGCGCCTGGCGGTAGCTTTGGGGAGTTAGCCCTGCTGTACTTCGTGCCGCGTGCCGCCACCGTGACGGCCTCTACGGATGCAACGGTGTGGGTCATCGACCGGACTCAGTTCAAAAGTATTTTAATGAAGGCTGGGCACTGCCACACTTTCCAAACATCGGCATGCCAAACTTCATATACACAGTCGTCTAAAACCTAAAAGCATCTCTGGCAATTCAAACCTATTTAGTTCTTGCACAGTCATTTATGGTGATTCTCCACTGCCAATTTAGATTACCCTTGGAGGTGTGCAGGGCTGCAGCCCGTGGCACTTGGACGATTTATCTTCTGGTTACACACGCCCACACCAAAGATTCCAAGTGACCCCGACCCTGGGCACCGTGGTGCCACGCCAGGCTTCCGATTCAAAGATCAGAGCGTATGTGGCTCGTTGAGACTGCCTGGGTTGAAAACTGGGTCCCTGCTTGGGTCGTCGATTGTGATGATTTTGATTTCTTGCCATAAATTGGGAACCTACACCAACCAGCCATTTGTTTGCGTGGTAGCGATTGGCCCAGCATTCAGGGAACATACGCATGTTTTAGGCACTTTCACCTTATACATTCCTCCACGACGTGCTTGCAGAGAATCTCGCAGATATTCCTAGGATGAAACCGCCAAGGCAGCGATTGTACAATAGAGGGGAGTTTTTTTCTGAAACCAATTGATTTAGAACTGGTGGGGTACAAACAATCCATGAAGCAATCTTTGGTTTCCACCTGTGGTGAAATATTTAGACAAAGCTAGCCCTCTTCATCGGCAAAATTGCTGGAATTCTCAGCAGAAACTTCAAGGGGATAAACTCGCAGAAACTCCAAGTTATATTTCGGAAAAGAACAATCAATCCCCATCCAAGTTTGAGTGGAAATTCATTTAAAGTACGAAACATGTTACCAAACATGCCCCAAGGTGAAATCTTGTGAAGGAGTTGGGAAAAATTATCACCAGCTAGTCAGCTAGTCCTTCAACTTATGTCTGGTCCATATCCAGGTGAAATATTTGGACAAAGTTTCAATTTTAGATGCGCTGCTGGCCGAAGAAAAGAAGCAAGTGGCCAACGCATTGGTGGAGATGCACTTTGCCTCCGAAGATCGGATCATTCAGCAGGGCGAGCCCGGCAACATGTGCCATGGCCGGCTTGGTGGAGGTGGCAGGGTGACTTTTTGGGGGGAAAATTGTGGGATGGGGCACAGGAAGATTTTTGAATGCTGAGCTTTAAAGCACATCCATTTTATTGGCTGATTTGTGTATTTTGTGGGTACTTGACTCTTAAAAACCAGCTTTATCCTGCTGTTTGTATCAATAATGAGAGGGTCGACCTAGCCAAATGGCACTGGAGAAGTTGATGGGCATTTTGCAGTTTTCATCCGGCCTTGAGACCCGGAACAAGAACAGCCACAGAGGTGAGATCACCATTTCGCTTTAAGGTTCTACATCATGTATGAGGGTGATGTGGACATCGACAAGGATGGCGAAGTCGCACCTGAGCTGACACAGGGTGCTGTGGAGCCGGATCGGGGCCGCAAGCCAATCGATAGCGAATCAACCAAAAACACCAACAGCCAAACCCTTCACTCAACCCAAATCAGTTGCCAAATCATATCTGTTGGATGCTTGTTTCGTACGTTTTTTTTTCCGAGAAGCGGGGTGAGAAACTTCCAGGGTTCAGCCAGCAAGGTGGCCACCCTGTCTGCCAAGAGCAAGAGTGGCACGGTGCACTTCTTTGGAGAGACCCTCAGCTGCAGGGGCTTAGTGCAGGGCGATGGAATCTGGGTAAACCTTGATTGAATTTCATAGATGAGTTTTCAGCCATTTTCATGAGGGATCATGGCACCTACAACAGAAGCATATAACAAATTCGGAAGAGGGAGAGAGATAGAGAGATAGATGGATCGGATGAGATTTAGATTTAGATTTAGATTGAGATTTGATAGCTGGTGAGGCAGATGGATGATGGATACACCAGCTATAGATATGACATCTCCGACTCGGACAGAATCCGACATAGAAATTGAGGATGGCACTCCTGGAGAATGAGAATCGCACTGCCACCGTGACGGTGAAGTCACCGGATGCCCCTTGGGGGCTGGATGCGGGACGGATGGATTCAGAAAGTGGGCGAAAACACCTGTAAACGGATGGACATGGCTATTTCACCAGCACATATTTGAACAAATTCCATCCAAGTTTTGGAATGTTTGGAGGTGAAGTTGGATACCAATGCCGCCAATGCCTATACAGATGCCTTTTTTGATTGGTTTGAATCTGGGAACGTTTTCGGTCCGGCCTGCCATCCATACGCGCCACGAATGAACAATTCAATGGATGGATCAGAATGACCCGGGCCCCTACAAGAGCCCAGTTTTCAGCTTAAAACCAGGACAAGTTTTTGCACACGCAAACTGCCTAGAGGGTCCATCAAAACTGAGGTATATAGCCATATATAGCGCCTACATTTTTTTTTGGCTTTTGGGTGACCACTGAATAGATCCCTGGGTCCCACCTCGCGGAAGCCAAGGCCAAGTGTTTGGTCTTGGACCGGGAATCCTTCAATCTCCTGCTGGGCCCCTTGAAAGATATCATTGAAGCTGCCCGAGAGGGTAGACAAAGACCTGAGCGAGCTGCTCCGGAAGCTCAAGGCTGCGACTTGGCTGGTGTTGAAGGCGTCACCCCATGGATTCGTTTTCCTCTCTGTTCCAGACAACAACAGATGGATCCCAAATGACCCCAATGGAATCACATGGAATCAATCTCACGGTTCTCGACCAAGTCGACCAAGTCGACCAAGTCGACCAAGTCGACCAAGTCGACAAAAGTGGGTGTCTTCCCCAGGTCTAGCTGAGAACCGCACCAAGATCAAGCGCAGCGATCTGAAGCGCATCGGCTTACTGGGCTGTGGTGGCTTTGGAGCCGTGGAGCTATGGGAGCATTCCAAGACAGGCGGCGGGACGGTTAGCAGAACTCAAAGAATCTCAAAGACCCAACGTCGGGTTTTAGATGTTTTAGTAGCTGGGTAACTTATGGTAACTTAAATGCCCGAAATTTTTGGATGCATGCATTTCACATCATTTCACCATTCTTACCAAGCTGGCACTTGTGGCTTCATTGCCCATCGTTGAGGCACAGCCTCTTAGTGACTTCAGAGGTCGCTGTAAATGACAGATGCTCAAGATTGGGGCCAGGTCAGACCTTCGCGTTGAAGGCCATCAGCAAAGGATATATTGTCAAGACGGGGATGCAGGAGATGTCAACGGGTCCGGGTCATATGTTGCGATAGCTGGGATTCCCTCCTGTTGATCAGCAAACGATCAATTCGCAATGGGCTTCGTGTGCCCTCCCTGAAAAGCAGAAGGCCTACGTGGCAGTGTTTGGGTTGCTCCAGTGTGAACGTTCGCTCGGAACTGCTGATGTGACAGGAGAGTGTCATGAACGAAAAGTCCATTCTGGCAATGACCAATTCCCTATTCATTACCAGGCTGTGCCTTGACTGCAAGGACCAGGTTTGGACGATCAAATCCCCATCTTTATTTGCCTCCTTCCCGCTTGAGATCGTTGATCAAGAGGAGCTTGTAAGTCGAAGTTGTACCGCTCACACATGAGAAAGATATGAGCCATGGCCCAACCCCTGCATCATTGCCGTTTCATGGGTTTTTCAGCATCATTTCTGCGGGGGATCATGCCCTTTGGACGATCAAGCCCCCTGTCAATCCAGCAGGGTTTTGGCCATAGCTGAAAGGCCCATCTGAACTGCGCTGGTGGCCCGAGGTACGAGACTTACAACGGCACTCAAACGCTGTACTTCCTCCTCGAGCCCTGCCTTGGCGGTGAGTTGTACTCCACCTATGTGCGGAAGAGCATGTATGGTTCAGAGAAGCACTGTAGGCGGGGGCCGGGACCAGTTAAGACATGGCAATTATATTCTTCATATCTCTTCATAGAAGCTCCTGGGGGGAGGTTGTTGTGATGCTAAATCCACCTTGGTCTGGCTATTTTGGCAAATGCATAGGAATAGGGAATAGGGCCATGGCATCACCGGACAAGTGTGTTGAGGGAAGCAACAGCAAAGAATAAGGTTCAGAAGTAGTATCTCTGCTCAAATCTTTGAATGGCCATACATCCCCTCAATCTTTCTCGTTTTACCGTCGGAATCGCCAGGTTTTATTCAGCCGGTGTAATCTTGGCTTTCGAGCACATGCACCAGAGAAGGATCATCTACCGAGATCTCAAGCCAGAAAACTTGCTCCTGACAGAGGATGGGCAGCTGAAGGTAACAGATATGGGCCACTTGGTAAGGATGGGCGCTGGTAGGCTTGCCAGATTTGGGGCGGACCTCAGCGGGGTTGCAAGCCGTTCACGATAAGTGGATTGGTCATCTAGGTGGCTCAGGTGTAGCTAGGCCACTGCTTCGTGGGGATCCCAGGGATCCCTACCCACAATGTCCCACAATTATGAGAGCTGTGTTCGGATCAGGGAGCTATCAACGTTTACACGTGGAGTTGTGTCAGTCATATCCCAGTCGCCCCCAAAAGCCGATGATGGTGTATTCAACTGCCACTAGCGACAAAAATAGTAAATAGTATAATACTTTACTCAAGGTGTATTTCGTTGTATCTTCGTTGTATCTTCGTTGTTTTTTCGTTGTATTTTCGTGGTATTTCGAACTCTCCCAGTTTCTGGCTCGTTGAATTCCCATCGCCCCGACATCCTGGGCACCGAGGTCTTGCGAAGTTCGTCATCGGTAAGACCTACACCACCTGTGGGACGCCGGACTACTTTGCTCCAGCACCTTGGTAGACCTTGGTAGACCTTGGTAGACCTTGGATACCTTGGTGGGGTCGGACATCCAGGGGATGGATGATTTTTCTGATTAGGGGTGAGAATGGCAAGCTGGCAGGTCCATTATTTTATATTATTTTTGTTGTAGAAATTCTAGGAAACATTAGGAAACATAGATTTTAAATCTTTTTACCATCAAATTGGGGCGTTTCGTATTGAACTTTGCCAGGAAGTCATTGCATCTACTGGTCACACCAACGCAGTGGACTGGTGGACCCTGGGCATCTTAATCTTTGAGCTCATGGCCGGGCATCCACCCTTCGAATCAGCCTATCCGATGCAGATCTATGCCAAAGTGACCAAAGGAGCCTTGGAAATCTTGGAACATGAGTCAGGGACGGTCAGGGGTTTAAACCGCAATGGCAGATGGCTATGGCAATTTTGATGGGGAACATGATGATAGAATTTGATAGATTTGGAGGCAGCCCATTCGGACAAACCCATGAGTCTTGGAGGTTGCCTTGATGGGAATGTTAGTCCCTCCCAAAAAGCATCCTTCGGTGCAGGGATGGCATGAAAAGGTCCATTTGCCAATCCCTGGCGCCAAACAAATCAGGACATAGAAGGAACATGAAGAAACAATGATCCACATACCTGGTGATTTTCCTGCTCCTTTTGCCTTGAAATGCCATGGTTTCGGAAAAGAGCCCCGCATCAAGTCTATTTTCCTGATCATTTCATTCATTTCAGAGAGAGAGAGAGATGGTTGCAGGAAGAGAATCCCAGATCCGCATCATGCAATTTCCCTTGGTCCTCCGAACGGCTCTGCCTTGCTAAGGAATCGGGAAAGTGCCGTTTCCGTAGCTGAGCTGCCAGTAGGAAACCAGACATGGCATGTATGGCTAGCTTGCCAGATAGATGATCGATGTTGGTGCTGATCTACGTGTGTTTGTGCACGTCTCATGCTTGTAGATCTTGCATGTAAGTAGGTGCTTTTGCATACACATCCTCGTGGAAGTGGCAGAACTGCTTTTTCCCAACCGCTGGTAAATTCGAATCTGACCTGATGTATCCTGATGTGACATGAGACCGCATGACATAAGGTGGGACCACCAGGTGGGACCTAAAGAAACAAAGAGCCACAAGCACAACCTCCGAGGTCGGCCATCAAGGCGAACTGCCGCAGCTTGATTGAGAACCTCTTGAAGAACGAAGCAGTGGAGAGGCTGCCCATGAAGCCAGGCGGAGTGAAAAATCTCACGGAGCACAAGTGGTTCTCGGAGTTTGATTGGGAGGCTCTCATGGGTCAGGCGCGGTGAAGAATTGATTGGTGAAATGGTGAAATGGTTTGGATCTGCAGACCAGTGCATGGTATGGAGAAGCAGTAAGGCTTCAGTAAGGAAGGCAAGAGTCGGCTTGTGAGATGCCCTAAAGAGATATGGTTCATGCCATCTTTTCCCATGACGGACAAAACAAGGATGCAGCCCAGCCGTTTCCCACCCGCTCGGCTGCTCAGACGATGCCTGTGCCATACAAGCCAGTGGTTAAAAGCCGAAAAGATTTGCAGACCTTTGCCCGCAGCCATTCAATGGCAAGATTCCTATCAAAAAGGACCTCAGGAATCCTAGTCCTAATCCGATCCCCCTAATATTCAATGCCCCTTTTCTATGGTCCCCATTAATGTGGAAATTCCCGACACCAAACTTCAAGGGTTGGATCACTACCTCGGCCGAGGAATTTCGTGGCGCGAAAGGAAGACGCCCCGAGGACGATCGAATATGTGGATCCAGGAACTGGATGGGATAAGGATTTTGCAACATCTCACTGAGCGGAGTCGGGACACCCAGGGAGGTGAAACATGGTGCCGAGCGAAAAATGGCTGGGTCTGAAAAGAAAGTGATGGTTGATATTGGTGGACACATCTAATTGATGGATTCACATGGTTCAAACATGAAACCTGCGAAGAAATATCATATCATGAAATATCGTGAGTCATGAAACAAGAAACGGGTTGCAGGGAGTGGAGAGAGGTGTGGCCACAACTTGGAAGTCATGGGCGTTAGAATAGTCGGAAGTTAGAGACTGGAATGATGGGGCTGATTGGGGTAATTCATTGTAATTCTGAAGCTTTGTTTCTCAATTCTTTCAGCCACTTTCTGATCCCATGTGCCCCTGTACAATCAATGCCGCTGACTATGGGACCAGCACAGTAACAAATCTATAGATTTCTGGAGAGATGTATATTTTTGGAAGGCATCAGTACCACTCATCCGCTTCCTCCTAATCCCTGAAATTGTGCGATGATGATGATGATGATGATGATGATGATGATGCTGGTGGCGGCGGCGGTGGTGGTCCTCCTGATTCAGCACCTCTTGCTTTACCAAGGTGGGGCTGCTGGTAAATCGACCTGGGCAGCTCGACACGTACTGATTCACGACGACTTGTCTTAGGCAGTTGGACTGTGCAAAAGTGCATCAAACAGTTAGGGCACCGCCTGGAAAAAAGTGCGAGAGATCTCGTGGCCGGAGCTGGAAGGATGCTGGGATTCCAAAAATCGAGGACCCCCCAGGAAGTTAAGATAGAATAGATTTAGATGGATTTGAAGGATTTCCCCATGGTCACCCTTGCGGGCTTGGCCTCATCAGGAAAAATTAAAAACCAGACCTGCCATTACCTCTGAGATCAGAAGCAACCTTATCCGGTGATCCTGGCCACGCCAGGAGCATCACTACATCATCGCCCGTGCTCAGGAACTGGCCATTGCCTTCCCCCTGGCGGGTGGCGGGCCGGCCGCGCTGCTGTCAGCCACCCTGCCGATCCATTGGCTGGAAGGGCTGAAGACGCCGCTGAATGCGCCCTTTGAACTCACGGCCAACCGCGAGGCCCGGCGAGTTTGATGATGGTACTTGTACTGTTCTAGGAGCCCCCGTCCGAAAGGGTGGCACAATCCCATTGGCAATTGTGCGCGCACGGCGCACGTATATATCTCTGTATGTAAGGGAAGCGGGCTTGACCTTCAGTGGTAGCAAGTCTCATGACCTTCTGGGCGCAGCTGGAGGCACTGCGAGAAAACAGCCAGCGCAACGTGGAGCTTCGCGATGCCCTGGCTGAGCTCTTCCTGTGGCTTGTCAAAGTGCAAACGCTCCCAATTTCCTAATAAGTGTTTTTCCGCCAGATTTTGCCCCAGATCTCCTGGAAAAGCAGGTTGCCTCCACAGGGCATGATTTCTTCTGCATTCTTTTGCCAATTCCCACGCTGGACCTCTCGAAATCCACGAAGGCAGGCGGCCGCAGAGCAAGAGATTCTGAGCTCCAGGGTCTGGCAGTTGCAGCCGGACGCAGAGGGTGGTGGCTTCTGGGCGCCCTTCGTTCAGCGGGTGCGGGCTGGCCTGCAGGAGGCCAGACGTGGTGGCTCCAAGTGGAGATCAGAATGATCTGTGGGCTCACAACAATGGGTGGTTCAAGATGTTGTTCAAGTCTTTAGTGCCGTATAGTCAAGAGTTCGTAGCAAATCCTAACCTCCAAACGTATCCTGGTGGGTGAACGCATGTGTGATGGATTTATGAGAAGGCTTACCAAGAAATAAAGACAATAAAGTTGCTCAGATTATTTCTCAAAGCTATTTGGCTGCCATAAGATGCCATCAGGATTGATTTCCTGCAACCTTTCCCTTGTCGCCCCTGATTCAGGTGCCCCTCATCCCCGTCATCGACGCCGGGCAGAAAAACCGCTGGGCGCTGAAGCGCTGCCGCAACCCGAGCTCCGAGCTGCTGAGAGATCTGAACCTTTTGCCCAGCGACCTGGAAAAGGTGGGCCTAGCGATTCCCACGGAGGAATTCCTGAGGCATGGGAGGGCTTGAGATGGCTTGGGATGGCTGGGATGGCTGGGATGGGTTGGAAGGGTGGCTGGTGCATGGGGCATGGTGCATTTCTGGGATGGGTACACAGACGTTGGTCGGTTTTCATGAAGTAAGACGTTGTAGCCATTTTGATGCAAGAAGATCCACATGCCAACCGACTGGTGAATGAGGCTTGCTTTGTTTTTTGGGGGGTGAATGGTGAGTCGCTGCTAATTGGCGTGGCAGATTCTGACAAATTCAAATAGAGATGGTTAAAGATGGGCTGGATGAGCTTTTTAGCCTCCGAGGGTATGCAATAGATTGTGTTCCTCATGCTTTCACAGAATCAAGCCTTGGCATCGGCCAGGCAGCTACCTGAAGGGAGCGAGTTCAACCTGCCAGAATTTGATGCCAAGGATTTGCTATGTGCCGTCCTGTTTGCAGGAAAACTGTGCCGTTTTCAGTGGAAAATGCGGCACTGGAATTCTGGGATATATATGATATATACTTTCTCAATCTTATCCCGTGATCTATCGGGCATCCATTCTTCGCGGTACAGGCCTTCTTACATCAAGAGTTCTAAATGCCCTTCACCCTGAGAAGCGGGTGCCAGTATAGGTGCGGATAGTTCGCCTGGAACTAGGAAGTTCTTGGCCACGTAACCATACGTAAGCGTCAACCAGAACACCTATAAAGCAGGGCCGAATCCAAAGGAAAATCATCAAAACATCTTCCGGGTTCCGTTTGGCTATGGCTCAGACCTATTTTTATCTATTTTTTATGTTCAGATTCTTCACATATTCGCATTTGACATATTTGACCCCTTCGCTCAGGAATTGAATGATGGTTGAACGGTTGATCCTGAATCCCAGCTTTTTTTCCGAAAGAATTGCAGGAACCCACCATATTTGATTAGAAACACCATGGTTTCCTGTAGAATTTCCCTTCAAGAATCCGTTGAAGGAAACATGACACCAGGTCTGCTCCAGTGTGGGGACATCAGCACCACCTGGCGGAGCTATGGCAACGAGTGGCGGCAGAGGGTGGTGGGAGCGGCTTGGATGGATCCCCAGCTATCGGCATGGCGGCATGGTTGTAAATCAAACGGTGCACGTAAATCCGTGTGAACTCTAGGGAATTCATGGGGAATTTCATTTTCTTGAAGGCTTTGAAGGTTTAGAAAAACCATCTGAATGCTAAAATGAACAGTTGAGTCGTTTTTTAAACATTGGTTACAAGATTCGGAGCACGCAAACCTAGATGAGCGTCGGACCTTTTCGGAAACCAGTTGGACTCAGTTGGACTAAAAAAACTTACCCGGCAGAAAGGCATTGGAGCGGCGCTTGAGTGAAGTGGACTTGAGACCTGTTTGCATTCAGCTGGAAAAAGATTGAATATCTATTTATATCATTATATCATATTATATCCACATCCTGTCCCATTTATTACTTTGTATATCTTCATTATTTCCCCCTGCTATCCCCGGTATATCTTAATACATCTTCATTATACCCCCATCCAAATTCCATGAAAGTCTCATGAGCCAATTCATCCACCTTGTCCCAGGGCTCTAAGGGCGACCTTGCGATCCCTGGCCCTGTTCCCCACTGGAGCTGACGACTGGTCCAGTTGCGACGACCAGATCTACTTGAGCCTACCCGAAGGAGCGCCTGAAGGCCTGCTGAAGGCCGGGCGTAAACAGCTGGTGGTTCCAAAGATAAACATATTATAACTTATGACTGAAAGAGCGAGAGAGAGAGAGAGAGAGATATATATATATGCAAAATATGTCCTAAAATCAAGGCATGTATCTGAACATGTCTTTGATGGTGCTTGCAAGTTTATTAGCAGCTATGATGTAGCACGAAGGTGGGGTGAGCCTTGATTCGGACTTAGTTCGTGGCTCATTTTTGCAAATCAATTATCAATTTTCATGAGGCAAATCTATCACTCCTCACTCAACCTGTCAGATTTTAAGGTGTTCTTGCTGGGAATATTTAAGGTCCACTCAAGCATTACGTTCTTTTCTTGCTGGGTTCTAAATCCAATGTCAAATATTAAAAAGTGGCTTTCACGGCAGCCAGATTGCGCAGAATCCCTTTCCGTCCCAGCCAGCAAAATGGATGACCTAAAAATCGTTGACAGAACGTGGAGGGTAACGTGTACCTGTACTAAAGATTAAGGCTGTGCAAAGCTGCCTTTGGTAAGCTAGCAGCCGGTCAAGGGTACGCCATACTCCGTTGCTAGAGAGACAGGATTCTTTTAAGGAAAATGTGTATCAATGCGTGGAGATAAGCAACAGTTGAACACACAATATTGTACAATGCCGATCAGTAAATGGAACGATTTTCCGGCAGACATTTAAGGGCTTAACTACGGGTGACACCAGTTTGATACGGTTGTGCGGATCCATGGTGCCACTTTTTGAGCTACTCACGCTAGGGTGAAGTCTTATCAGCTCGTGAAAAGTCGTATCGGGAGGCCGTGCGCCTGGAAAACGTTCAAGTTTGGCACCACCACAACTCTCAGTAACCGTATTATTTTATTGTTTTGGAGCTGTGCGCCTGGGAAAAGTACAATTTTTGTATTGCAACGACTCTTTGCTTGTTTTACATGATAAACGTATATATATATATATACACATGCATATACATACACATATGCATACACACACACATAGGTATACGTGTCAGACGTACCATGTGTTTTAAGATTTTTGAGGGGTCGTATGCTGCATTTTTGTTGCCAGGTGCTGCTGCTTTGTCAATTTGCTGCGGCCACTTTGCTTCGTGGGGTGCTGTAAAACGGTGCTGCTGATGCTGATGATGCTGTTGCTGTTGATTCTGCATTTGTTGCTTTAAACAAATGGCATTTTGCTCATGACATGGTTATCATTTTCCCATCATTGTTCATTATTTTCAATGATTTTCCTAGTTAGTTTTTTTTTTGACGGGTGTGATGCCGCAATCATAGTAACCACTGTACAAATGTACCGCTATCCTCCGGAAAACATAACATAGCTACAGAAAAGTGCCAATTTATATATAGATGGTTTACATTTAAAAAATGGTGATTTTCAATAGCCATGATAAAATTCCAGATGGTAAACCTTTATCCGTTTGTCCTTGAATTCCATCACCATAAAATCATTAAATCAATATTAAACAACTCTCACATGAGCCATGGAAAATACGTCTCTTCCATCTCATTATGCCCCTTGATTAAGATAGTCTTATCATGGCTTACATATAACAATCCACCATAGACCAGCTGGTATAACCCCCTATGTTAGCCGATCAGCAGAGCTGTATTTTATGGCTCACATGAACAAGCCTAGATTGTATGAAATCCTAGATTAAACCCATCCCCCCTATGAAATTCCATCAAATCCCCATTAAATCACTACAACCCATATTTTTTTCCATTATAAAATTATAGTCCATTTTAGACCCCCATGAAAATATCCACAGCAGTAATCCAGAGACTTCCATATATCATTATATAAATCGATCATTATTGTTTTTGAAATCTAAATATATCATTGAATATATTAGATTTTGATTGGTTATTCCCATCACGATCATCCACAGTACATCATATCCAGGATATTGAACATACAATACATTAAATGGAATCACTGATGATATTCCAGGAATATCACTGATTATATTCCTGAAATATCCTGAAATATCATATTAATTGGATACAATAGACTATAGCTATAGGGGGTTATAGTTATATCCCAACTTATTTTCCATGGAATCCCTGATGATATTCCGGGAATATTTTTTGTAAATATTTTACATCCATTAACATTCCTCCATATCCTCCATCCAGGCCCTCCACAGCAGTCGCGCCTGCGCGGCGGACCGGGCCCTGCTGACCGCATTGGGTGGTGGTGGTGTGGCGACGGCGCGCGACGTGGCGTATGCGGTGCTGCAGCGGGGGTTGGGGCTGGCCGATGTGGAGGATGCGCCTTGTGGGGAGGAGTTGGGGGATACACACACGGATAATTACGTGTATATAATATGTATATATATATGATATATGTATATGTGTATGTATATGTATATGTATACATTTTATTAAAAATATAGCATTTACATATGTATATCATAATCCGAGCTTATTGAATTTATTATGGGAAATTGAGATTGGGATCTGGGATAGCAAATGTGTAGCTAGTTCTTTTATTCTCCAGAAATCTATGCATGAGTTACATGCTGTAGTCCTAGAAATGCAAGCACAAAACATCACAAAACATGTTTCTCCGCGTTTTCCTACTGCTGCACTGTATTGTACATGGTCAAATCAATGGTCAGAATGCTTTGCACATCACAATACACAGCACACAATATCACAATGCTTGGTAAATCCCTCTGTTGCCAGGCAGCAGGTCCTTGTGCCAGACTGGCTGTTCCAGGATCGCAGGTTTTCCTGGACCAACCTGGCCTACTTGGGTCACCATTGGCAGAGCATTCTCCAGTGTGGCGCGGCGGAGTCTTGGATGGTGAGATGGGTCATAGGTAGCCCGGTCCTGGAAGGGATCGGAAGGGCAGGTTTTCATTATGAAACCCAAATCACGAAAGCTTCTGCTAGCTGAAGTCCCTCTTGCTTTAGCAAGGTATTGGGGGGCTGGAATCTCCAATCGCGAGAAACTTCTCACTTAACTACCTCCCCTTCACAAGCAGTTTGGCCGTGGGCTCAACCCCCGCCGGGGTCACCGTCAGCAACATCAACATCGGTATCCTCTGCACTCCCCACTCTGCACTTTGCACTCCACACTCTGCACTCTTAACTTCTTGACTTTGCGCTCCACATTTTACACCCCACACTCCACGCTCTACACGCAACACTTTACACTTGGCCCTCCACACTCTAATTTTACACGTGGCACTCCACACTCCACCCTCCTGCACACTCTACACTTTACACTCCACATTCTACTGTATACTCTACATTCCGCACGCTACACTTTAGACTTTACGCTCCACACTCTACACTTTGCACTTTGCACTCCACCCCTTGCACATTACACTTCGCTTTTTACACTTTACACTTCACACTTTACAGTTGGCGCTCCACAGTCTACACTCTACGCATTACACTCTACACTTTACACTTGACACTGGGCACTCTACACTTTACACTGAACACTCTACACTTTACACTTCACGCATTACACTGTACACCAGGCAGTCTACACTCTAAACTTTACACTCCGCACTCTACACTGTACGCTCAACACTTTACACTTGACACTCCACATTTTACACTTTACACTCCACACGCTGCACTCTATACTTTACACTTTACATTTTACACTTCACACTTACCCCTGACACTCTGAACTCTACGCTTTACTCTTTACGCTTTACACCCCACACTCTACACTTTACACTCCAAACTCTACACTCTACACATCACACAGGACAGTGTAAAGTGTAGAGTGTGGAGCGTACAGAGTACAGTGTGAAGTGTAACGTGTAGATTGTGGAGTGTAAAGTGTAGAGTGTAGAGTGTGGGGTGTGGGTCAAGTGTAAAGTGTAGAGTGTGGAGTGTAACCTGTAGTGTAGAGTGTCGAGTGTAAAGTTCAGAGTGTGGAGAGTGAAATTGTGTGTGGAGTGTCAAGGGTGAAGTGTAAAGTACAGAGTCTGGAGTGTAAAGCGTATATAGAGTGCGCAGTGTCAAGTGCAGAGTATAATGTGTAGAATGTAGAGTCTAGGGTTTGGGGTGTAGTGTGTAGAGCGTGGGGTGTAAAGCGTAAAGAGTAAAGTGTAGAGCGCAGAGTGTCAAGTGTAAAGTGTGAAGTGTAAAATGTAAAGTGCAAAGTATAGAGTGTAGAGTGTGGAGTGTAAAGTGTGGAGTGTGGAGTGCAAAGTGTAAAGTGTGAAGTGCAAAGTGTAGAGTGTGGAGTGTACAGTGTAGAGTGCGCAGTGCAAAGTGTAGAGTACGATGTGTAGAGTGTGGAGTGTAAAGTGTGAGAAGTGAAGTGTAAGGTGTAAAGTGTGAACGTGTAAAGTGTAAAGTGTAGAGTGTGTGTGGACTGTAAAGTGTAGAGTGTGCGAGCATACAGTGTACAGTGTATAAAGTGTACGGTCTGGAGTGTAAAGCGTAGAGTGTAGAGTGTGGGGTGTGGGGTCTCAAGTGTAGGGTGTGGAGTGTAAAGTGTAGAGTGTAGAGTGTGGAGTGTAAAATGTAGTGTAAAGTGTCAATGTAAAGTTCAGAGTGTGGAGTGTGAAGTGTAGTGTAGAGTTTGAAGTGTCAAGTGTCAAGTGTGAAGTGTAAAGTGTGGAGTGTGTGCCTTACACTTCACTTAACACCCTAACAACTTTACACTTTTCACACTTAACACTCTATGGAATCTTGGCCTAGCTTTATTTTCATGTTGCGTTCGCGCGCCTACCTCTCGTCCTCAACTTCGGCTCTGCACTGCGTTACTTCTTCCCGCGCTTCCAAAGGTCCACTCCGATGTCGACGGTGGACCTTTCCATCTTCCCCAATCACTAGTCATCATGTTGGCTATGCCGTCTTTTCTTATCTATCTTATCTTCTTCGTGCAGCAGTACATCGTAATCATATGTTCTCATCCTCGTCCCCTCCAACATACATCACCTCAATACGTAGGTTTGGATTTTCACCTTACCCACACGCCCCAGCTTCAGACCCGCGCGTCCACGTTGACGAAAAAGCTGCACAGCTGCGCTGTGCCCTTTGTCTTTTCATGCCGAGCTCCCTGCCAAGCTAGCTTTTGTCCCGTACCCCTGGGCGCCAAGTTTATCTAGTCCCAGACTCCCAGGCTTGCCTTCCAAATCTATTTTCCACCTTCCTGATGCCATGTTCTATGGTTGAGGAATGGATCTGATCATAGGCGCCTCCACATCTGGGTTTGGCCCAAGGATGAGTGGTTGGCAAAGCAAACGCCAGAGCAAATGGAAGAGCTTCTGAGGCTCTCGGAGCTGATGTTTGGGTGAAAAAATGGGCCAGTCATCATTCCCTCATTGCACAGCCTTGGATCCCTACTACAGTGGTTTGGAGGGTCACGGCTTAGGAGGGTTGAAACTTAAGACACAACGGAACACGCATGCCGCCACCCAGTTTCCTATCCATACATGCCCTGTATCAGTGATGTTGCGAAATGATTCGTGCACTGGTTGACTGATTGATACATGAGTAACCAAATACCGCAGATCATTTCAGGCTTTCCGCAACTGATATTACCAAATCATTCCCTCTATTTTTCCAAGAGGACAGGTCAGAAACAGTGATAATCTTCCTCTGCAAATTTACGGTAAATCACAACAGGCTCACCACGACCTCACCATAAATGGTAATAGAGGTGCTTGATCCTTTGCACACTTTTTGGTTAAACTATTATTAAACCAACATTTTTGGTTGTTCAAATCGCTAGTTAGCCGCAAGTTGGCTGGTGAAGGACATCCCCTTCTTGGTCCTTTTTTTAGGAGCGTGGCATTGCCGAGCTGCAGTGGCCGGCTGTTGCACTGTGCCTCAGAGCTGCGATGTCCATTTCTGTTGGGATGCAAGGAGCCGAGGGAGGACACCAAATCCCATGTTTGGAACATCACGATTTTCGTTTTTTTTCCGGCCAAAATTAGGGTTTCATTTGACAACACTCGGAATTTGATGATTTGATGTTTTGACATGGCTCACCTTTTTCGCAGGTTTGAGGAGTTTCGATGTCAAGATTCTTGGAGGTTTCAGGTGGAAAAAGGGCCTTTGTTTTCTCCATGCAGTCGAGCGCCGCCGATCGCTCCAATCTGCTGGCAGAGCCTCCGGGAGCAAATGACATCCAGGTGGACGGAAACACCAGCGGGAAGAATTGGATTTTACCTGTTTAAGCAACAAAATATAGGATTAGCTGCTGTTCAAACATTCGGCTTGGGTTGCTGAACTAGATGCCGGAATTGGAAGAACTGTTGAGACACAAACAATTGAATGAACGTGGTTTATTTTCTATGCCACGCCTGGTATGGGAGGGGCGCCTGGTGATGGAGCCCTTGATATATTTGGGAAAAGGTGACCCACATGCTTCTTACACAATGGTGGCCCCACCCACAAATCTGGTTGTTTCAGTGCCCCGATCAACCCCAAGAAAACCCGTTGTATTTCTACCTCCATTTGGGACCAGGGCTGCTTGTGTGGGCTTCCTACAATGATGCGTCCTGCAAACAGTTGCCACCAGATGTTTTGATGGGCACGCGATTAACGATTCTGGCTCCCAAGTCCCCAATTCACGGGTTTCTCCCTTGATACATACGCCCCCCAGATTTTCAGGTGGTTTTGCTGAACCCTTGCAACCGTCTTGATAGTCATAGGAGTCATAAACCAACTGATGTTGGAGCTAAGCCAGCCCAGCAGTTCAAACAGCTCCTCCCAGCCCAGGCGCGGCTGCGTTGGGAACTGGTCTTCCTCCGTCTCGGCGCACAGGTGGCGGAGGACCAAGGGCTCCAGCTGCCGCGGAACTTCTTTGCAGAGGGTGGCTGGGTGTGGCATTGGGGCGGGGGTCTGGGGATTGTGAGTTTCCATGGGATTTTGAGCAACACATTTATGGTGAGTTTCAACTGCATTTCTTTCAAAGAAGCAAATAGGATTTAACAATCCATTCTATTTTAATCATTTGGAAGGGCAAGCAATTGAAAGTTGAACGAGCAAGATGTGGTTTTTAAAGCAGTAAAATGTAGGATATCAATCAGCACCCTGGGATTTGAGTCGGCATCAGAGATTGATCAGCAAATAGATGGAACATGATGGAACAAACCCAGCACGGAATCAGGATAAAATTGACAGCGCACCCTCATGCAATGACTGCATGGTACACTCGGTGGGTTCCTCCCAATTTTCGACGCAATATGATGTATGTATATATATAGACATATTAATATAGATATATTTATTCATTTTTTTCATCTATTCATTTATTTGTGTATTTAGTTAATCTAGTTACTTAGTTATTGGAAGCTATCCTTAGGGATTCAAGCGTGGGTGGTTGAAACAAAGAAAATCCTTGACAATTGGGCCGCATGGGAATTGAACCAGTAATAGCAGGGATGTAAGGAGCAAACATCCGGATGGAACCCTTGACTTCATCAGATGATTTTGGGTGGTTACACACTAGGGAACCCCTCAAGGTGATGGGTTACAGTCATGATGGTGATAGATGAAAACTAGAGAACAGTGGGGGGACACAAGGGCGACCGCAGAGTGCCAGAGAGTGACTTTACTCTGCAGACCAGGATCCTGCAAGATGCCCAGCCTCTAACATCCCTGAGGTGTGGGGAAGGAGCTGGGGCCCCTGCTGGACCACTATGAGCAGCTGGGAGTTTTGCAAACGATCAGCAAGAAGTGCCCTGACAAAGCGCGTCAGATGGGGTTGGCTGATTGAAATTATTGGAGGATCTAATATTGTTTTTGTTACGCTGCATGCATGCATGCATGCATGCATGCATGCATGCATGCGTACGTACGTACGTGCATACGTACATATGTACATGCGTACATACGTAGATCCGTAGATCCGTAGATCCGTAGATACGTAGATACGTAGGTACGTACGTTAGTACACGTACGCACGTACATACATAGATACATACAGACACTTATCCAATAATCTATGCTATTGATTATTGAGTTTAGAGTATATTATATACTTATTGTATTAACCTACCAGTACCGTATTATTACTACAATCTATTATTGGGATTATTGTATGATCTTGTATGGCTCTTGGCTTGTGGTCACACAAAGGTTTACCTTGGTTCGTCCATGTATGGCATACTTAGTTGCATTTGGATGCACTACTCGTAGCTTAGATCTTCAGAGAGTTAGATCATTGATTTGAGTTTGGTTGTCTGATTTTGTAGACCTGGTTTTACAGGAAACCCTGATATTTGATGGTCAAAGACCCACTGGTTTGCTGCCACATGTTTCTTTCACACCAAGCGAGCGAGTATCATTCTTGTTGCCTAAAATCCGCACTTTTGCTGGTAAGATCCATTTTTTTGCTCTTGAACTCCCTGATTTTTGGTGGATTCAGCATTTTTTTGCAGCTGAAATGCACAACTTTTTGTTGCTATCCATGGCAACCGAGGTGTTGCATCCCAGACCGAACAGGCTGCATTTGTCAAGCTGGCCATTTGCTGGGTCCAGCCTTTCAGCCCTTGCTGGGGCCGGACGGCTGGGGTGAACAGCGGAGGGCTGAAGATGGTTGTTCCCTGTTGTTCCAGCAAGTTGCTTTTTGAAACGGCCCTTATGGGTGGTTTCTAATAGAAGACGTCTTTTTCCCAGCACTGCAACCTGGAATCCCCGAAGGAGAAGTTGGCAGTTCTTGGTGTGACATCCTACTATGTTGGGCGGTTTCCCTCACATGCACACACACACACACCCACACACCCACACACACGCACACACGCGCACACACACACATATGCGAGATAAATACTGTAAAATACTATCATTCAACAACAACATATCCCATCATAAGTAGCAAATTGCATATCATATTTTTATAGATAGAATTCACACACACATATACATATACACCGCAATACTGATAATCATAATGACAATGAAAATAACGATGATAATGTTCAGAAACAGTACGCACTCGCCCTATATATATATATTTACATGTATAGTATACATGCACACCTGCGCACACATTGTTTTTATATATATATAATTATATACCTTTGGTGATTTTCCACATGCCCAGCTCTTATGGGATCTCCAGGACGGCATCGTGGACCTTGCTGATGACTGCGCCGAGGAAGCGGTTCGCTTGCTGGGCGTTGTGGTGACGCCCACGGCGCTGCTGGTGGCGCAGATGTTGAAGAGAGCAGCGCAAGGTGCCAGCAGATACCCTCTGGTAACATAGCAGTGGAAAATCACCAGCTTTAATAGGTAAATCTGGCTGTAAAGTTGGGCCATTTTCGATAGCTATGTTCAATTACCAGAGGTTATGCCCTGGCAGCTGAGAATGGTCCATTTCTGGATGATTTGCAGCCATTAGTGGTCATTTTATGTGATATGATATTTACAGCTAATGGTGATGATACCCTGCCATGATATAGTTTACATTATGGTGATGTTCCATAGCTACGTTAAATTGCCATAGGGCAATGCTATAAGCCTCCACTTTCGGAGGGTTTATGGCACCCATTTCTGATGAAATTGAGGATGGTTTATGGCAGTGGGTTTACAACGTTGCATTTTTGCATGTACATGCATGTAGTTGGATGTATAAAGTATATCAATGTATATATATATCAGATATGTGGAATAGATCAACCCCCATTATCTCCTCAGTAATTAAATGACATGAACGCTTATTACATGCACAGAAAAACACTGGAACCGGTCGAATAGATATGGCATGACCATCCCAAACAAGGGCCCTAACATTTACCCCTTCATTGATGGTATGATGTTGAGCTTCGTTCCAAAACTTGGAATTTGTTAAATCTGACACATGTTTACCACATGTTTACTCCTGAATCCATCTGAATCCGTGATATCTCGAAGTGAGCTGCCGAGGTGGCACCAAGACCTTGCGCCGCAGCTACGAGTTTTTGTCGGCGGAATGGCGTGAAGGTCGGGTGGATGAGGAATCTCTGCTGACGCTGAAGAATGGGATGTGGATGCTGAACTGCCCCTTGGCTAAGTCGCCACTTGCAAGATGTTGGGGGAATGTGAGTGTGAGATTATTGATTACCGGTTGTTAAGCCATTGGGAGTGGACGGAGGTGGTTCAATAAACACATGCAGTGACATTGCAAGGAATCCGAACATGCAAAGCATGCCCAGTATCGAATACGGGACGGCAGATCTCCATCGTGTTGGTGATATGCCCATGTTGATATCCACTTATTGTTGGTTGTTGGTGTTGGTTCTGCCCGCAGTAGCCACTGACGGTATTGTTAGTGGATCTTTGCAGTATACGTATGCATAATTATACATACGACGCTACCTACCTAGAGCCAAAATAAATATCACCTTGGAGAGTTTTGACCCCACAAAATCCACATGTAGGTTTATATATCAATAACTCTCACTAGGTCCTCATGGATCCTAACTCTATGTTTAAGGTGTATGATCATGATGTGATGTATGGTCGGTAGCTCATTCTCGAAGTCTGAGGTGAAGGTGACCTCTCCTTCGAACAGGTGGCTGACGTCACTTGGGAAGATGTTCAGCGGCAGATCTCTCTGCGCCTGGGCAACTATGGCCAATTCCCAGAGACTAATCTAAAGATATCTGCAGTTTGATGATGTTTGATGTGTTTTGTTGATGTTTGAAATGATGTTTGATGATGTTTGGTGATGTTTGATGATGTTTGATGATGTTTGGTGATGTTTTAAGGATGTTGAATGTGCTGGTGCTCAAGTTTTATTCATCTTGCTGTCTGATTGTCGCTTTCCAATCCTCTACGTCCATCGCCAATATTCCTTCAACCGTGGTGGCGGTAGCGCTTTTCCCATCCCCCAAAAAGGATTGATGATGATGATGATGATGATGATGATGATGACAATGATGCTTTTGGGGTGATTGGTGTTCCCAACCTCCAAGTACCACTGCCAGGTGGTCCAAAGATGGCCTGCATGGTATCTTCCGCGCCATGGGCGTGTCCCCTTCGACGGGTGCGGAAGCTGCTACGCCACCTGAGGCCTCACAGCCTGCCAACGGTCAGAACAGGTCGGGGGAAAGGCGGGGTGCTGGGGATGTACAGAATGTTGCTTGAAGGATCTCTGAGAAGTCAAGAATTTCTGCGAGACTTGTTGATTTAGGCCCACATTAGGCCCGAGATGGGGAACTCAAATGTTCGAACTTGGTTTAAGGTTATATATATATATTTCTGATTATTTCTTCGATTTTCTTAGGATTTTTGAGACGCCCTAGCAGGTGGCCCTTTTTGGCATCCCTTTTTGGCCACAGGCCACCGGCGAAATCGTCATCGCAGCCTCTGACCTGGCCCGCGCTGCCACAGGTCAGGTCAATGGCCGAAGACGGAGGTGCTGTGGCGATCGAAAGGTGGCCATGGATCAAAACCTATACCCTCTGGTAATTTAACATAGCTATTGAAAATGACCATTTATAGTGGAATTTTCCCATTGAAAATGGTGATTTTCCATAGCTATGTTAGTTTACCAGAGGGTAACATTCCTAGCCATTTTGGTGTGAGCAGAAGGGTACCCACGTTTTGACTCACCATGTTGATACATGACTGTTTGTGAAATCGCTTATTTACGAATACCTTCCATACAGCCAGGTCCTCTAAAAATTTCTTTCCACCAACTCCAACCCAAAGTCTGCCAAAAGTCATGCAACCACTGCATGTGCATCCCGCTTAGTAAGTGGGTCATAGCCAATCAACATTAGATGAATTCGGGTTTATCCCATTGACAATTGATAAACAGGATTAGATATGATTCGATTATACCGGATCATGAACGACTTATGAATCGGACTATATTTATATAGAATGATTCGGTATGATTAGATTCTACCGTTGAACCATGGGTACCACTTACGAAGTGTCCCGAGTCCAGGCGGCGCCCCAGTAGCTGCTGGAAACTCTGCAAACCCACCGGCCTTCCGGGAGCCGAGCGGTGCGCAACTGCCGTTGCTGGGAAAGTTGCTGCAGCAGATTTTTTACAGCCGCTGGGGCGAAAAGAACAGTGACTACTGGGATCTGGGTATCAGATATGTCCTCAAAGTGAAGGGAAAGTGTTTGTGATTATTGTACTGCTTTCATTGAAGATGTGCTGAAAATAGTCGGTGCAACATAATTCTGACTTGCATTGTTGGATAGTCTCAGCCATCAAATGTTTGTCAAAAGATCAATCAGGTGTCGTGAGGTCCCTAATCAGAATATGTAAATACTTGTGCTCGTATGTGTACGGGATTTACGGCCCTTGCCGAAGAAACCACCAAAAACGATTCCCCCTTTTCCATCCTTTTCCAACCATTCACCTGCCATTTCTCTGCCATTTCCGAAAAGGAAAATCACCGGGACCGGCCTTGGGCGTCAGGCCTGTCAAGGCTAGTGGCCCTAAGGTGCCGGAGGCGATGATATGCTCTACGGCCGGCTGGGGAAGGATTGAAATCATCGCAGGTTCTTCTGGAATGTTCGAACGAGTTTTCGTTGAACAGACCTGTATTGTAAAAGATTTGGGATATTTGGGTCTAGTGAGTTAATCTTGAAATGATTCACCTGATTCGGAGGTGATTATGCCCTTGATTCAAAGAAACACATCCTGTGAGATGAGCGTCGTGCTTTTGATATGCAGTCAATTTTGGGGTGAATAGCTGCAAAGAGCTGAAATCGGTTGGTAATTGCATTGGCAAAAATCACACACACACACATATATACAGTATACTATACATATATATTCCAGATTTCGGACAACTATGCCAAAAATTGATACAAAGTTCGGGTCGTGCAAGAATACCACAGGAGACACGGGAGATGTTGGCCTCGGACATCCACTTCACCCACAACTCGATCTCACGGAGGTTGGCAGAAAATCATGGGGGCGGTGAAGTGAGAGCGATGTTTAGTTTTTTTTTGATGCTTTACTTACTTTAGTTGGTGATACCCTTCTATTGGCAATGGATTCAAATGATTTCAGGTTTCATCAATTTTCATCATTTTTTAAAAACATGTTTGTAGCGATTTAAATAGCAAATTATATGACCGCTCCAACTCTCACGAATTCATGGGCCTTGGGGTCACAACCCGATGGTTTTGCACCAGATGATTTCCATTTTCGTGGGCGGTGATCGCTGTTGTCAATTTTTAATAATTTTTATGCCTCAAGACACTATGAGACTATGCCGCTGCCCTTTCATTCTACTGGCTAACTTCTCGTTTTCGAACATCCACCTCTTGATTCACATCATTTGATGTCTCCAAGTTTTGTTTGGACTCAGCTCTCCCATTTGTTGCCTACGCCGACGAATCTATTACCGTCGATTGGCACAGGTTTGGTCACGGCGAACTGAAGGGCCGACAGGAGACGACCATCTGGGGTGTAAAGAGGGTCATCTCTGTCTCTTTGAAACTTCGCCATGGCATAGTAGTGAGCCATTTTGAGCAATTATTTGAGGGGTTTGCAAGATATTTCACCAAAATTTGTGTCTCATAACCTCACTATCCTCACTAGATAACAACTTTTCTTCCTGTGCAGCTAGGGTTCGTCATGCAACATTCTCAGGGCTGCTCAAAACGTCCGCAGGTCGAGGACGTGGCCAAAGCGCTGCGCGAAGGAAACATGACGACCAAAGAGTTGCCATTGGTTGTGGTGAAATTTGAGTCCAACTACTACACCTTGCACCTCGGCGGGAAGATGTGGAAGTTGGTGCTGATCCAAACTCGATGCAGTTTCGAATGTTGGCAGAGCCCAGAATGGCTTCCAAAAGGTCCCAATTTCCAGTTACATCAACCAACCATGATTTCCTTAAAACATGATTCCGATATTTCAGAGGGTTAACCCGGCAATCCCCTCTGTAATGTTAATTGCCTGTGTAGGTAATGCCTAAATCCCGAAAAAAGAGGTTCCAACTGGCCAGGAACAATCGCTCCCTCTATGCTCTTCGGAAAGCCTCTCGGGCGCAGAAGCCGCTCAGAGCGCAAGTGGCTGCATTCGAAACTTGGCGATGCCGGATGGCGACGAGCAGGGGCATTTGGATCAAAGACTTACATTGAAATTTGACCATGAGCCTGAAAAGCGCAATGTGCCATGGGAAATCTATTCTTACTATAGGGAATAATAGCAATATATTGACATGTTTCGTGGTTTTGGCAACATTTTCGTCGCGTATGCCTGCACAAAGCCCAGAAGTGCTGGTCACTTTTGGCATTTCATCATTCCAATGTTTTGAGCGCCCAATGGCTTGACGAATTGTGATGGCTGTCGGATGGTCTTTGGATGTTTCCCCCGACATTTTTCGGCCCGAATGGGTGCGGATAAACATGGGGCATGTCCCAAAAATCGCAATGAAAGAACAGGGAAACTTAATATCTTTAAGTAGATATATAATTATATATCATTATATATCACTATCTATCACTAGGTATCACTAGGTATCACTAGGTATCACTATGTATCACAATGTATCACTATGTATCACTATGTATCACTATGTATCACTATCTATCTCACTATCAATCTCTCTATCTATCTCTCTATCTATTTCTCTATCTATTTCTCTATCTATCTCTCTATCTATCTCTCTATCTATCTCTCTATCTATCTCTCTATCTATCTCTCTATCTATCTCTGCTTCTATCTCTGCTTCTATCTCTGCTTCTATCTCTGCTTCTATCTCTCTCTCTCTCTGTCTATCTGTCTATCTGTCTATCTATCTATCCATCTGTCTATCTATCTATCTATCTATCCATCTGTCTATCTATCCATCTATCCATCTATCCATCTATCCATCTATCCATCTCTCTCTCTCTCTCTCTGTCTGTCTGTCTGTCTGTCTGTCTGTCTGTCTGTCTCTCTATCTATCCATCCATCCATCCATCGATCTATCTATCTATCTATCTAAATGTATGTTTATATGTCTTTGTATATATATATCTATGCAATGTATTATATGTTTGTATGTTTGTTTCTCCAATCTTCAGACGAAGCCAACTTGGATCGGGCCTTCAGGGCTGGGCACTCGAGGAAACGATGTGCCCCGTTACCGCCAAGTTCATCCAGCTGCGTTGCTCATCGTTAGCTGGCCAGGAGCGAGCTGCAAGCTGCAGCAGTTTGGAGCTCCGGGGTTTGAAGACATCAATGACATCTACAACAATACTTGAATGGGTTGGATTACAGGAAAACCGGCAGGAAACCTTAGCTGCCAGCGTAAAAAGAGGGGGTTGCCTGTACTTTTTCTCAAACGCCAATTCTCGGAAAAATCTTGCAGGTTTGTTGAACATGTTACAGTGACATTTGTAGCTCATGATGCCTGAGAGGACGAATCTCTAGCGCAGAGAGCTACAAACAGCTCTGAAGAGGAGGCTTGAGCGAGGCCACAAGGGTCGGGGGATATGGAGTCTGAGGATATGAGGGCTGGTGGTAAGATAGAGTCACTTGAAGATGATGGCATTTGAACATTTTGTAACATGACCAACCTCAACACAAATGGAAGCTCTAGCAAACAAATGAACCTTGGGGGGTGTTTCATGGTGAGGTCACCAGGGATATCCAGGGCATGACCTTGTGACCCCACGGGCAGGAGATGGTTGCGGAAGGTTGCGGAGAATGGATAGGACAGTCACATCGCTTCAGGAGAAAAAAACAAGAGAGAAAACTCTCAGAATGGACGGCTGCCACCCAAAGTTGCCAAGCCTGCTAGTTTGGCACCTGTGGATATGTTATAAACTCAGCCATTGGGAAAGCAGAAGTGAACTCACTGCCCCAAAGATAGCCTGTTTGGATCCAAAAGTGACGGCCATGGCACCTCCTAAAGGCCCCTAAAGGATCCTAAAGGTATCTTTCAGAAAGGTAGCGAATGGGTTGTTCGCATGCAAACTGATGGGGATGGAAGGGGAAGAAAGGAAACGGAAGAAACTACTGCATAGCAATGGTTGTACAACTCGAAGTTGGACAGAACCCCAGTGAAGTACAGTAGTTACAGCCCCAGGATTAATCCAGTATATCACAGTTGATTTGGTTTTAGTGATGGGCTCCAACATGCTTGATGTTGGTTAGTTCATCATTTTTTGCTGGTTAAACCGGTTAAACCGGTTAAACCTAAGTCTTCGTGGTTTATTCTGTTTATTCTGAATGTCCTGGTCAAATCCCAAGTGTTTTCTGGTTTAGCTTCACATTTTACCAGGACTTTCCTGGTTGATTCAGAAAACCATCATTTTAAGGGATGATTTGCCATGCTTGGCCTCAGCCCCGCAGCCCAGATCAGCCCAGCTCCAATTCCCCGTGACCCGACCGCGACATCGCGACATGGCACCCAAGCGGGGACAGAAGCGCGCGCCAGGGACGCCCAGGGGTTTCTGGGTTCATCCCTCGGCTTGGTAAGCCATAAACTATCACAACAAACAGCAAAACCAGCAAAATATCCAAAAGCAGCAAAAATTCTCAAAAAGTCTCAAAAAAGTTTTTGGCGGGCTACGTATCTAAGAATTTGGGGACCATGGAAGTCCAGCAAAGTTTGCATCGCCCCAGGCCTGAAGAGCAGAAGGTCGCCAGGGCCCCAGGGGCGGAGCAACGCTCGTGGTGGTGCGAGATGCTCCGAGGGCCGGTGAATTTGGGGGATCCATGGGGAGATGTTCGTGGACCTTATTGGTGCCACAACCACCAGAACTTCAGTAATTAACTTCATTGACTCCCCATGACTTCCCATACCCTGCCACACTAACCTTCGACAGAAAGTTCCCACCACAATTTTCCACCATACCTGTCGCTCAGCCAGCTGCACACCTGAGGTGGCTGTCTTGAAGAAACTGCATGTGACGCAGGGCAGTTGCGGGTCTGCATGGAGAGTTGGGGTGACATGTTGTGGGACGCCAGTTTTTTTCTGTGGTCATCGGCCGATAACCAGTGGGGCATACAAAACAGCTACATACACATCCCAAACCATCAGGATTCATGTGCAGATTCGCCACAATTCACGTCAAATGAATAGGTGAAGATTGGAAATCCTGGTTGAAAATTGACCAGCACACAATTTTGGACCCCGCAACTCACCTTCCAGAAAAACATGTACGTGTGTTATTGGGAATGTGCACAAGTCAACTCCCAAGATCTCCAAAGAATCCCTGGATTTTTGTATAGAGAAATTCTGGTTCTTCCTTCAAAGGTTACATTTCATCTGCAGGAAATGACATAGTGGCGTGATTAGTTGGACAACTACCATTCTGTGTTTTTAAAACAATTTAACTTTCTACACACAAACCAATGCACAACCATATCATTCAAAGCACCTATATTGCAGCATTACACACACACACATGTAAACTGCAAAGCCCATGCCGTAACTCCATACAATCTCATAGCCCACACATTAATTCCAATTAAAGCCACATAAACCACATTCTTCATAAAGAAAAAAACAGGTGATTCTATGTCTTATCCATCCAAATATCCCTATCTAATCCCCATCTTCCAGCAGCTTCTTCCTTGCTTCCCCTGAGGTTTTAAGCAGCTTAGCGAGGCTCTTCACCATCCCTTGAGTGATCTGCCGGAGGTCCCGCGGCTGGGCTGATGGCTCAGTCATGACACGTGATCGGAGCTGGAGTCCAAAAGAGGCTTAGGATGGCTTCGGTATTAGGGCCTTCCATCCTCCCAGGATATCCCAGGTGCCTCAGTAGGATCCCCAGCCGTAGGACTGTCGGGAGATGCTGCTGGCAGGGCTCCCCTACAGTGTCTGCGTTTTCCAAGATGAGCGTTCGGATGCATAGCTTCACCGAAACGGACGCTTGGGAGGAACCAATGCTTTCAGGTGAACACACCATTTTTTTGAATGGTTTTATGGTGGTATAGTCATGTATCAATATGTAGTATCAATATGTATCAATACGTATCAAGTATCAATAAGTATCAATACGTATCAGCATGTATCAATATTCATCATGTAGCTCTGCATGCACTGTGTCACATGCGCATATAAAAGGATAGATCCATGTTGGAGAGCAGTACCCTTCACAATCATTGGTTCGATGCTAGCGCAAATCGCTCGTTGACCTTCCCTGTGACAGAAAAGGCTCAAAGCACATTAGGGGTGAACGGCCGGTGATACATTTGTTCTGACCGCCATGGCCGTGCAAATGCAGGTTGTTGATGCCTACGAAATGGCAGGAGATGTCACTGGGGGAGTGACCGAAGGGCCACGGGCCCATGAACAAATGATTCTGGTGATGGGGCCATATGGGGCCTAACTAAGTCACTAAGTCTTAGGTGTCAATTTTGTTGGGCCATGTTGGGCCATGTTGGGCTCTGGCTCTTTGATCTGATCTGGCTGTCCAGGCCAAGTTTGGTACAACATCAGGGTAGTGGAAATGCAAAAGGAGTGGCTGGTCAAGACGCTCGGCATGGACCATGCAACCCGGTTTTGGATGGTTTTGGGACCAAGACCTTTGAAACCATCTCCACCACCAGCTGGTTTTCGGTTCTTTCCGCATTGCTTTGTCAGAAAGAAAATAGGGGATACATGGGGACACCCAAAATCAGGGAAATCAATGAGACATAATCCTTTGGAACTGGTGGTAGTTCCTTTGGTAGCCATGGGTAGCTTCTTTTCAGAGAAATCCAGCTGTAGACTTAGGAAGAGCTACGATCATTTCGTCATGTTGGACGGCCAGCTGGCCGCCAGCAGTCCGATTCAACGACTTCCGCTGCCTGAAAAGGGGGTGATTGGCTTCCGTGCGATGTTCAACATCGGCAACTTCAATGAGCACTTTGTCTAGGAAAATCTGGGCGAAGGGTAGTTCAATCATGATCAATCATGTATTTTAAGCGGGAATTTATGTGTATATATATATTTCTCCCTCTCTCTCTCTCTCTTGGTTATACCATTATATCAATGGCCATTTCAGGATCCTAAAATGGAGGTACTGTACCATATAAGGCCATATTTTGTGGGGATGATATCCCCTTACATAGGCCTTATATAGGCCTTATATATGGTAGGCACCTCCAATTTTTGATTATACCCGCTCAATTCTTGAAAGGTATCCAAACTTGGCCAGGTTGTCAGCAGGAAAACCTGGGAAACATTGGGAGCATCTTCGGAAAACAGGTTTTAGTGATGTGATTGTGATTTGTTATAAAATAGTAATGCTGGAAATACTCCAAATTCAAGACAATTTCATCAATCGGCATTGACGCACGGTAGGTGAGGATTCTGCGGGATGCTCGTTGCATGACCTCTTCGAATTTTGGATAGTATCAATCCATCCGCATTCGAAGCCAAGCCGATTCGGAATTGAGAGAGGCATTTGCTGTGAAGGTGAGGTCTTCCGAACGTGATGCAGTACAATATATGCAATAGCTTGCCCATTTGCCGTTCTTCATCATTCAAGCACCCAAGCTGAGGAAGCGTCGTGATGGCCTGAACGCGTACCTGGCACACATTGCCTGCCAACTTCAATCCCTTGCCCAAGTGCCAAGCTTGCAGCAATGGGTTCAACCTCCTTATGGCTATGCGCAACAGCCTGGTGTGATGGCCACTGCTGCCCCAGCAGTGGCCGTGGCCGCCCCAGCAATGGCAGCACCAGCAATGGCAGCACCCGCAATGGCAGTCCCAGTCGCAGCACCAGCGGTGGCCACGGCAGTTGCAGCCCCAGCAGTGCCAGTTGCAGCTGCAGCGGTGCCAGTTGCAGCTGCCTCAGTTCCTCCAGCAATGCCAATGGCTGCGGCCTCTACCCCAGCTGCTGCCACCGGGCCCATGGCAGCCACCATGGCAGCCCAAGCCTTGATGGCCTCAGCCCCTCCACCAGCAGAGATGGAGGCGCCCATGGCTCCAGTGGCACCCCCAGTTCCTGTGCCACCTGCAGCTCCAGTGGTGCCGGTGCAAGGTGCTGTGCAAGGGCAAGTGGTGGAAGACAACCCTATGCAGGTCATGCAGCCGGAAGCTCAGCAGCCGATTGCGCCTGGGCAAGCCGTGCCAGTTCAGATGGGCGCAGTGCCAGCACAAGTACCAATGCAAGCACAGGCTGTGCCGCAGATGCAGGCAGCACCTATGCAAGCCCAGGCAGTGCCAATGCAGGCCCAAGCAGTACCAATGCAGGCCCAGGCAGTGCCAATGCAAGCACAAGCAGTGCCAACGCAGGCCCAAGCGGTGCCAATGCAGGCCCAGGCAGCGCCAATGCAAGCACAAGCAGTGCCAATGCAGGCCCAAGCAGTGCCAATGCAGGCCCAGGCAGCGCCAATGCAAGCACAAGCAGTGCCAATGCAGGCCCAAGCAGTGCCCGTGCAGGCACAGGCACAAGCAGTGCCAATGCAAGCACAGGCAATGCCAATGCAAGCCCAAGCCATGCCAGTTCAAGCCCAAGGGATGCCAGTACAGGCGCAAGCAGTGCCAATGCAGGCGCAGGGAATGCCTATGCAAGCCCAAGCCATGCCGCAGTCCAACACAAACGGTGGTGGCTCCCAGTACCACACTTAGACCACGGGTTGGTCTTGAACGATTGTCCACTTCGCAATGTCCACTTCATTCCCAGTTGTCACGGATAATGCACCTTAGTCGTCAGGAGTTTCAGTAGACTGTAGGTGGGCGTGACTGAGCCATTTGTACACATATTACAATATTCATCTATTACTTTAAC